AAAGTTTAAATTTAAAAAAATCAACTTAAACGCTATTCCGTCAGCATAATTAATACTTCCTATTTCAAAACATGTACATATAATATTTGTTTTCAAGAACATTACCATAGCCTTTGAAATTATTGAGTTGGGGCCAAGTCTTAACCTTTTAGGCCTAAGGGACTCTTGAAAGGATAATTTAAGATTTTAGGAAACACGTAGTCCATTCCACATCAGATGGTTCAACACTTGAAACAGTAACAAAGATAAATTACACAAGACAACTGTGAAAACATGTTGAGATCATGTCGTTTAGATAGATAGCATCAGCTGTATTCAAGCCAAGAGTGTTGATACATCGTATTAGGACAGTGGTCAGCATGGTCCCTAAATGACTACTTGTCCTGATACTTCTGATGGGTTAGCGTATGTGATGTGGGTTTAATAAGTCGCATAGGCTCTCTTATCTTAGAACTTCATATAATGACATTTACTTTTATTTTTTCATAATTACAGGTGCTCGTGACATATACCCTGCAGACTACTGCTTCTTCCGTTCGTTCAACAACGTCAAGTAAAAATGGTAAGGGTTAAAAAAAAATAAAACTCACGAGAAAATTCTCTTTCAGGTTTAAAGTTTATCTCTATCGTTAAGCCTAGACGTGATTACGCCCACAGTTTAGAGTTGTGCGATGTTAATGTGTCACGCTTACGCATAATGTCTTCTTCATTACTGTGGAACCCCCCAGAAATGCATATTTACTTCAACATGTAAATCTTAACTTCGCTATATGGTTATAAAACGTTAAATGCTTCTATGAGGGCTTTGTGTCAAAGTAGTTAAACTAGATATTTTTTCGGTCTTATCATATATTTTTTGACATAATTTCAATCGACAAAGAGATACAAATGAAGGTTTCTGAATCTTGAGATACTAATAATTAAGAAAAATATTTTCTCAAGAAAATGATTTTTAATAAAATATTGTATTACTTACAAAAACATCTATAAAATTCTATATATAATGTTATAAAAATATATAAGATAAATTTCTTATGAAGTTTCATAACGTCTTTAAATTAACACAGAAATTAATAAATTCATCAAATTTTTTGTTTCCACTAAATGAAACTTTTTATTAAATATTTTATCCTTACTATGATTTTTTTTTTTGTGATTGACCAAGAGTGCATCACGTGGTATGAAACATTTTACATGACTGTTGCCTGGTTGTCAAGGCCATTGCCAAGCATGAGTATTGTCACAGCAGAACTTTACAGACGACCATTTTTTGTAGTACGGTGAAAACCCACTGATTCATTTAGGCTTGATTTACAAACAACAATGGATATTTCGTCAACATTCTAAGCAAATTTTATGCTGAAGCTAGATAACATGAAACCTTAAAATATGCGTTTAGCTCCTGGAATGTAGGTTAAATAAATTTTGTGACAGCGCCAATTAATCTGATTTTAGTAGAAGAAGAGGGTAAAATAAAACAATTATCGACTGGTCATCTCGGGAAACAGATCATTTGTTGCTCTGATAAACAGTCAATAATTGTTCAATGTTTACCATGACCATATTCTTAACTATTTATCCCTTCGTCTTTCTAGAGGCCTAAAACAAACAAGAAAAAAACATATATAAAAAGAAATATATCTAGAAACATTTGTCTATTTAATTCTTTCGAATATTATTCACTTTCATCCCTTCATCTTCTAATTGTAACGAGTATGAATAATAAAATTACTTATTTTTGTGAAAATCGTATTCCTCAGGTCTTCTTTCGTCGCCCGTGAATCTGAGATCTACATGCAAGTCTTCGTTCGTCTGCCTTTTATTTATTCCAAACAGTTACTGTAACTGGAATAGTGAACTCTGTAGTTGTCGTCCATTCCACGTGCAATTCAATGACACAATGTGTATACCACGTAAGTAAATATGTATATATATATATTTGAATTTTGTATTCATTATATTTTTATTATTCATTGTATTCTGTTGAATAATATCACTGATTAATGGAGTACCCGATATATGTTGGCCTAGAAACTGGTTTGAATATTTGATTGACGAGAGGCTGATTGTGTGTTCAGGTAGTAGATGATATTCGTCAAGCTTTTAGCTGATTAACAATATTTGCTTATAGCTATACGCTCCTTTATAGTTTAGTTACGGAAGGATTCATAGGCCATCTTGCGTTTGAAAAGGTTGATAAGTGGTTTAAGTAGCAGATTTCTTGTTGTCTATTTTGGAATATTGTTGTATAACTAATGAGTAAATAGCAACCTGAATTATTTCTAATTTAGTGGTGACTGAATACATAGTCCAGTTGTTACATGATACCTGACTCAGATAGAGACTGAATACACGCCCTGTTGCTACATGATACCTGACTCAGATAGTGACTGAATACACGGTCCAGTTGCTACATGATACCTGACTCAGATAGTGACTGAAAACACGGTCCAGTTGCTACATGATACCTGACTCAGATAGTGACTGAAAACACGGTCCAGTTGCTACATGATACCTGACTCAGATAGTGATTTAATACATACTGGTCTCAACTGTAGTCCAGTTCAAGGTTGAATAGTAAAGTATCTGACGTAGCTGAAGATATAAATCTTAATTTAATGATAAAAAAGGAGAACCATAAATGTGACGGTCAGAATAATTGTCTTATTCTATCTTTAAAAAAGTCTATAGTGTCTACAAGAGAGAGAAAACAAACTTAGAACATTAACAATGATGTAACGAAAATTTACAAGCTCAACAACCTTTGGATTAAAATAATACCATTTTTGTAGGTTAAGGACAAAAAGTTTTTGTTCAGTTTCTGAACTTCACGCAAAGCTACTAAAGGGTTATCTGCGCTAGCCATCCTTAATGTAACTGTGATGGACTAGAGGGAAGTCAACACCTCCTATCACAAAATCTTGGGTTATTCTTTTATCAACAAATAGTGGGATTGACCGTTACATTATAACACTCTCACGGCTGAAAGGACAAGCATGCTTGGCGAAGGTCTAATCCGCGACCTGCAGATTGCGAGTCGAGTCCCTAGCCACCAGGCCATGCCAGGCTCGGACATCAAAATGTAAAGAGAAAATAAATTAAAATAGTAAAAATTGATAAGATCAACAAATAAGAGAAACGGGTATTATTTAATAAAGTTGTGTCCTGTTATGGATACAATAATGATTCAACTCTGCTAATTAGCATTTTATTTACATGCTAACTAGCGGCCTGTTTATGAAATGACTAATGATTCAGTTGTTTATTAGTGTCTTATTTTTATTGTGTGTTTATGGAATAACAGATGATTGACTAGTGTTCAATTTATATAATAAATAAACAGTTGTTTTTGGTGGTCAGTGTTGACTGGTGTTTTATAATAACTAGCGAAATGGTTGTCTATACACAAACCAATGATTTAGTTTTGATTAGTTTTTACCTACTGGTTCTAGTGATTAAACTTTAGTGTAATAATCTCATAAATAGTGATTTACCTTTGGCTTGTTGCAAATCACTGACAACTATAAACTGAAAATAGATATAGTTATCTGTTACAAGTCTGTCACTAGTTAAGGTCAAATTAAATCGTGAAGATTAGTGGAGTTGTTATTACGTGTTTTATTTACATGCTAGGTAGCAGACTTCTTATGAACCGAACAATCTTATTGTGGTGTGTAAATGTTCTATCTATTGTCTAAAGATCGGTTTATTTACATGCTAAGTAGTGGACTTCTTATGAATCGAACAATCTTATTGTGGTGTGTAAATGTTCTATCTATTGTCTGAAGATCGGTTTATTTACATGCTAAGTAGTAGACTTCTTATGAACCGAACAATCTTATTGTGGTATGTAAATGTTCTAGCTATTGTCTAAAGATTGGTATTTTAAAAGACGTATTGATAATTCACCTGATTATTTGTAGTTTGTCAGGTGGCTAATAGCGCGTTTAGGGACAACGAACTTAAATTCATCTTTTTTTTGCTGATTAATAATCTACAAATTACTTTGATTGCAGTCTTGTAGTAGAATGAATGCAGTCATACATACAGTACTTATCTTATTTTATAAAATAGTAGATATTGTAATAATCTTGTTATTAAATACCGTGTGTTTTTATTTTTTCTAAAGAAAATGATTAGCTTAGATCCAAAAAATTTCGATGCGTGGCAGAACGTCTGTTTCCACTAAATTTAACAATTGTTACACGAGACTAACTGAATAAATTGCTGTCGTTTTTATTTTATTGCGCTACTATGCATGATGTTTTGAGTAAATAATATTAAACACATATATATATATTCTTTTCAGCGACATTGCTAGGATTTGGGTGTGCAATAGACGCCCAATGCAGAGTGAAAGTCAAGAACAGTCGATGTGTGAACGGTTTATGTGAATGCCTACCAAATTACATTCCATTTAGACGGGACAGGTGCTTATCAGGCAAGTTTATTGTATCTTAATAAAATAAAGTTGTTCTAGAAAATGTATAACATGTTCATGGTAATATCTAAACTGATCCTTATTGAGTTGTCTCGCGGTGGACATACGGGGTTCGATTCCTCGTGGTGGAGACAGCAGATAGCAAAATCTGGCTTTGTTCTAGAACAAACCAACCAACTTTATTGAGTTATATATATATATTTTTAGAACTTTAAAACGTTCCTCATTTTCAAGCCACCATTATTAATCCAAATATTACAGGTAACAAACAATTTATGAATAAACAAGTGAAATATTTCACACGCATTCTTATTTGTTTTAGGAACGTCATTTGTCTATTTATTTTGTCTTTGAAAAAATTGATTTGGTTTGAATTACGCGCAAAGCAACACGAGGGCTAACTGCGTTAGCCGTCCCTACTTTAGTACTGAAAGACTAGAGGAAAGGCAGGTAGTCAACACCACCCACCGCCAACTCTTGGGCTACTTTTTTACCAACGAATAGTGGGATTGACCATGACTTTATAACGCCCCCACGGCTGAAAGGGTAAGCATGTTTGGTAGGACGAGGATTCGAATCCGCGATCCTCAGATTACGAGCAGAGCGCCCTAAAGACCTGGCCATGCCGGGCGGCTCTTTAAAAAATAACCTGTTGAACAATAAGGTGCTATTAAATGAAAGCAAGGGAGGGCGGGATTGTCAAATCGAATTTTAAAAACATCCAAAACTAACACCATCATCAAAATATATGTGATTTGTACAAAATTCTGTTTATGAAATAAACCATTTTCCCCTTACAGTATTTTGTAAAATATCATTCGTATATTTGTATACTTTTATATCTATGTAAATTTCTTAATTTAATTGTGTTTTTTTTTTAGTTCTGTATCTTACAGTATTTAAATTCCCTATACCACATTGACAGATTTTCCTTATGAAGGAAATGTTCACTGACAATTACGTGAATTTCGGTAAGGAAAAGGTGACGTAGAGGTCTATATTATTTCTTGGTTTGCTACTTCCGCTGCAGCAGACTAGTTTCTCCGAATTCACAGTTCATCAGTGTTGTTTGGAAGAGCGAAGCATGTAAAACAAAGTAGGCCTCATGTAGTAGTGGAATGCAAGCAGTTTTGTTTGGTTTTGATGTATAGTCCTTTAATCACCACTAATAACTTAAAATACTTTAGATATTATTCAAATACCTAACGTATTTTAGGATATTAGCAACGAGTATACATCAGAAGCAAGTTTCTTCGTTATTAATGAAATATCTTCTTTTTTTTTCTTACAGAAGCAAAAGTAGGAGAATATTGTCTTAACCACGAACAATGCAGACTTTCAGACAAGTATGCCTATTGTAATTGGACTATTCCTCATGTTTATGGCAAATGCCAATGTCCATCCGGGTTCTTTTTCACAAATGATGGACGTTGTTTACCACGTGAGTACCAATACTGACACCTACACGTTTTACTTTCTAATAACTAAGCTAATAAAGCGAGTGAAGAGAATATCTGATTGGTTAACTTCTCACGAACGTTTTGCATTTACATTTTGCAAAGTCTACGTCAAGATCTATGAACCCTTTTTTAAAGAAAGGATGATATTCATAGATCTAGTAAATGTTGTCAATACTGTACTGTTTACTGCAAATGGTAGCTGTAGAAAAATATTTATTGTTGGATTTTTCTCCCTCTGATAAGCCCCCCCCCCCCCAGTGGCATAGCGGTATGTCCGCGGACTTA